TGGGTCTTGCTAGATAAAAAAACCTAGCAATAGTGGACTCTACTGCTAATATGCCCTAGGCTCTGCTCTATCAGAACTCATTAACATTAATCAGTTTGTTTCATTTAAAATTTAGTATGTAATTAGCTTGGAATAAACCAGTTGACCTGCTTAGTCAACTCAAAACTCAAGTTACCCGATAAAAATCTGGTAGAGACTTTTTATTTCAAATATATTTTCCCTCCTACCCAAAGATCATTTTTATATATATTTTCAGTTAGTTACCAACTCAGTTCAAAGTTCATTATATAAATATTAGAAGAATGTTTTGTTTTTTTAATATGAGATTTGAAATCCTTTAGTATATATATTTTATGTTCATAAGGAAAAAAACTTATATTTTTTTAATATAAGATAAAAAATCTTTTTGGTTTAAATATTTCAACTTAGAAGAATAAAATAGTTTCTTTTCAACGTGGGATAAAAAAATCTTTTGAAATAATATTTTAAATATAATTATTTACAACATGTATAACTTATATCCACATAGATTATTTTTAAATTTTTTTCATATAAAATAGTAAAACATAAAATATTTTTTTTAAATTTTTCTAAGTAACCCGAAGCCTTGACTGAATCTGTTTTATTCAAAATCTAGACCTGCAATTGACTTGGAGTAAATCAGTTGACCCTTTAGTCAACCTGAAACTTTGATGACCTGACAAAAACTTGGTAGAATACAATTGAAAGGAAATAAAATGATTTGCCGATTAAAAAACCAAAAAACTAGACATAATCTTTTCTCTTTTATTTTGTTTTGGGGTTTGTTTTAAAAATATTAATTTTTTTGTTATATGTTTAATTTTTAGAGTGGTTTTTTTAGTTCATCTATGATTTTGTTTTTATCTTTTATATAGATAAACTATATTTTTAAAAATAAAAAATATTTATTTTTAGATGATATTCTTAACATGTATTGCCTTAGATGTTATTCATTCTTTTTTTTATTCAATTAATTTAATATTTTATTTTTCAAGATTTAATATTTTGATATATATTTATCTATCGATTTCTCAAGCTTTATTTTTAGATGTCATTAATAATTTTTGATTGATTTATTAATACACATAATTCTTAGTTTATATTATTACATATGTACCTAAACTTTTTGATTTATTATAATTTTTGAACAATTAAAATGCATTGAAAAAACATGTATAAATTAGATTTTATAAAAAATAAAAAAAATTCTTCTTATATATATATAACAACTATGATCATGACTAGATTCCATAAATTACTAAATAAACAAATAATGAATCTTATAACATAGTTATTAAATCTAACTGGGTAATTGATCTAGAAAAAATTATAATCTAAAAAAGTTTACCCGAGCTGAGATTAATTGAAGTCCAATTGATTCATCTAGATATTTAGTGATTTTATTAATTCAATTAAACTAAATTAGGTAAATTTAAAGAATTTTCTTTAACAAAAACAAAACAGTATTATTTTAACTAAAATAACTTAAATTAACGGGGATATCTCGCAAATTAATTTGATAATTTAAACTATTTTTTAAGTTAGTTCCTGATTTCGAATCGATAACTACAATCATTCTACACCTACACACTGTCGGAAAAAAATAATGATATTCATTTTTCTCTGGAAAAGATAATAACATATCTCAACCTGTAGATGACTCCTATTCGCCTAGCAAAATCAAGTGCATGGAAAACTATCAGTAACAAAAATACAAGGCATATTCCTTCTGCTTCTTCTTCTCCTTCTTCTTTGCCAACATGGTTCGTCGAATCTGCCAACATGGTTTGTTGAATCTAACTTTCTATCTAGAACAGCTCCCACTATAAGAAATTAAAGGAAAACGATCACTTCTGTAAAGAGCCAAATTAAAATACTAAATGAAATTTGGACATGTTTTTGGGGTCCATAAGCCGGGAGCCACGTTCCCCAGGTCTCTTCTTGGGGTCCATCGGCCGGGGACCACCGCATCGATTACCACGACGGTTATGGCCGTGGAGAGGAGCGAGAGGGTGAGCGCGTGTCGTTTCACGGTAATAGCATCTCCAATAGAAAAGTTAAATGGATAGCCAAAAATAAAAAATTAATATTTTCGCTTTTCTTTGTTAGTTTTGCACACTCCAATGGAGAAGTCAAACAAAATGCTAAAATGCCTTTTCTTTTCCACAAATGCTATTTCTATATATCTCTTTAAAGAGCCAAAATCAACAAAGTAGGACCACTAAAAAAATAGACCAATTAAATTTAGATATGTGGAAAAAAAATAATATTAAACAATATTAAAAAATAATAAAACACTTATTTTTTTCACTTTAATATAAATGGCTTTTCAAATGGCTTTTTTTCATTGGAATAAATATGATGAAATAAGCTATATTTATACTATTCAAAATGTTATTTTATTAATTTAGCTTTTCAGAATAGCATTTTGGATTGGAGATGCTAT